TACAATATCTCTTTAAATCCTCACAATAAGTCCCATTTTACAGATGAGGATACTGACGCATAGAGCGGTTAAAACACTTGCCCAGGTTCACACAGGAAGCAGGTCCCCAAACTGGCCCACCCCGGAGCTGGATTTCCACACTCCTGATCATGGGTCAGGGAACTGCACTGCCTTTGGTCTCGGGGAAAGGAAGCTGATGGTGTGTGGAGCCCGCAGGGATTCCCCCCAGAGGGATCCCCCGCACAGGAGACCCGCAGGAAGTCTCGGGGTGTGCTGTGGCCTGAGCCTGCTGCTGGAGACCCTTTACAGCTGGAAAAGGCCACGCCCAGTGTGCATCCTGAAGGGTCTGTGCTAGGCGCCCCGCAAATTAGACTGACAAAAGACAGATTAACAGGAGAAAAACAAAATGATGAGAAACTGCAGAGTGGTTAGAGGTGGGGGCTTATTTAGCAAGTTAACCAAGAACAATAAATTTTTTTTGTAGATGCTTTCTGCATCCGTTGACTGTCATTTGCCTCCAGCTCGAAATAATCCTATGCCAATGTGGCGTATCTGGGGGTGGCATATTGTGATTTCCTGTATCTGCTTTAGGGCAGCTGTTCAGATGGGCTCCCTCAAGGGCCCGGGGCTGGTTCTCCAGGCCCGAGTCCTCAGTGCCCCCGCTGTGGGAACCCGACTGCTCCCTCTGGCCTAAGGCAGGAACAGACCGTAGGACCCAACCCTGTAGGGACTCAGGGTGGTATTACATCTATTTTGCTGGCAGACATCTGAGCCCCAGTCCTGGTGCTGCCACTTGGCAGTTGTGTGACTTTGACCAAGATGCCTAACCCCTCTGAGACTCCAGTTTCTTCCGCTTAGATTAAATAAGAAAAGGGGGGAGATGGTACGAAGTACCCCCTGCACCAGTCCTCATAGTATCCAGTGAGTATCCAAGGCCTTTTAGCTGAAAGATGCCAGAGAAACTTGAGCCCAGGCAGAGACCAGAGCCGTGTCCTGACTCACCCCACCCCAGGGTGCTCCCCCTGCCCCACCTGGGCCATCAGGAGTCCACTGGGGCTTGGGCACCTCTGTTGTCTGGTCTCTGACCTGGCAGCCCGTTCCTGCCCAGCGTTTGGGGGGTAGAGAGAGCCCTGGGTCTTGTAGCCAAAACCACAGTGCTGCCTTGGAAGCCTGTGCTGGACCCTCGCTGAAGAGGCTCCGTCTTGGAAACCTCAGAAGCTGCTGAGCATTTCCTGCTCAGCTGCTGCTTCCCAGGGCGGTAGGGCCCCCCCCACCCCCAACCCCACCGAGGCTGCCGGCCTCAAGTCAATTCTCTTCTCTTTCTTTTCCTCTTACTGTCAGATGCCACTCTATGTTCAATCCTCAAAACCATCCTAGGGGGGACGGAGGCCCTACTACTATTCCTGTTCTGCAGATGGGGAAATGGGCCCAGAAGTTAAATAACTTGTCCCCGATCGATCCCACGGCCAGTGGTTGGCAGAGTAGAGATTAAGAGGCAGGGAGCCTGGCTGCAGAGTGGTGCTCCTCACGTTTCCTCTCCATGCTGCCGAACCCATGGACTGCATGCTGCTACATTTTCCAGCTCTCTGTTTGGCTTCCCATTATCATTGGTTTCCTTAGAGGCTTCACCTCTATTAAGAGTAATAGCCTGCATGGTCTGGGTGACCCTGGGTGAGTCGTGGAACTTCTTGGGACTCTGGTCACCACCTTTGTGAAATGAGGGGCATGGGCCCGAATCTAGATGGATTGTTCTCCAGGTCTGTTAAAACACAGATAGCATGGTACCACCCCCCTGAATTTCTGATTCAGTAGGTCTGGAGTGAGGCTAATTTGCATTCCTCACAAACTCTCACAAAGCGAGGCGATTGGTCTGGGGACCACACTTACAGAAGCCTCTTCTAGATGCTTCCGAGTTCCCTTCTGATTATATCACTCAAATTATGTTCTGCTTCTTGTTTGAAGAGGTAGGGTCTTTCTCATTCCCCAGCAATCTTGGAAGGATCACTCAGGGTTGGCCAGCAGAGAGAATCCTCCAACATGGGTACATGCATGTGGGCGTGTATGGGGGGGGCGGCGGGGGTTGGGGGAGAAAGGTGACACCTAATAAAATAAAGGCCCTGGGGAGGTGGGTCTCTGGACAGGCCAGTGAACAGGCTGCGTGCAGAGCTAAGTCTTCTCTAACCTTTCCTTCTTAGGTTTTTATTCTTCCCACCTTAATTTCTCAGTCCTCACCACCTTCCAACCAACAGCACTTCAGGGCTGGCTGTTTTGGGAAATGGCTCACAGGGCGTAGTTCTGGCTCTTAAGCCCCCTTTTTTCCCCTGAGTGATACAAAGGAAAACTGCTCCTCTAGATAAGCTAAAGGCATGGGGCAGGCCTGCCTCCAAGGAGCAGCCCCAGGGCAGGGCTCTGGGTAGGACCAGCGCCCTGGGGACAGGGTGAGGAGTGGCGGGCATCTGTAGGCGGGGGGAGGAGCCAGGTCTTCGCAATCTTGGCTTTAGGCTCCAAGCTCCTTGGCGCGTGCGTTTTAACTGTGACAAAAATATACATCACACTTGGCACTTTAATCACTTTTAAGTGTACATTTCGGTGGCATTAAATACATTCACATAATCGTACAACCATCATCACCATCCATCTCCAGAACTTTTTCATCTTCCCAAAGTGAAACTTCATACCCAGTAAACAATAACTCGAGACTCTCCCCAGCCCCTGGCCACCACCATCCTACTTTGCATGTCTGTGAATGTGACTAAGCTCAGCGTTTTTATGTCAAGTGAGGTGGTTGAATGGATGCTTAAGTTGCCTTCTAGTTAGAACATTCAGAGAGTCTCGTCCTGGCAGCTGGAAGTAACGGTCATTTGTCTATGCTTTGGTTCATCCTGAACCATTCCCCTGGACGTGTTGGTACCAAGTAACTTCTAAGAGTTACTTCCTAGGTCCCTTGGAGCCAACCCTAATCCTTTACTCACCCTTAACTCCAAGACCCTCTAGGTATTTGCTTCTAAGCCTGACTTTTCCCTTCAAATCTGAATTAAGTCATGGATCTCAGGGGCCAGCTCACTGTGTTTCTGCCATGTTTGTGTTGGCTGGACTCCACCTGGATGGTTCTTTGCACTGTAATCCTAAGGGGAACACCCTAAGCGGGAGATAGAGGCCTGGGGTTGGGTCTCAGCCCTGCCCTTATCCAGTTGTATGACTTGGCTCCTGCCCCTCATTTCTCCCTCAGTTGTTAGTTTCCTCAATATTCAATAAAATGCCCCTGACCCTCGTGGAACTGCTACAGAACACTCAGTGTTCTCAGGAGGGTGTGTTGGGGGTAGGGGCTAAGCGCTGTAGTGGGCAGGTGGGTCAATAAAATGGGTGTGAGGGGGCATCTCTTCCAACTCAGTGTCCCCTGCTGGGTCATGGCTGTGGTTAGGTCTGCCCTTCTGTTGCAAGCCTACTATTTTGTTGACAGAGAGCTAAGCTAACGTCTTGTCCCAGTCCTTAACTCAGTCCGGGCAAGGAAAACCCTGATCTTGGAGCTTTTCCCCTTTCTAGCTATTAGGTGATTCATTACAACACCTTAGGGAAAGAAGGAGAGGGGTTCTCGGCACTAGGAAATTTACTTCTGAAAGAGACCACATTGAGAGAAGCCTAAGGAGGAGGGAAAACAAGCCCTGGAAAATAGCCAGCATGGGGTTGAGAAAGAGCTTTTGCATCTATGTAACCATCAGCTGGCTTAGGTAATGGAGACCATGCAGATAATTTCTCATAGTTTAGATCTGCAAGCTTGAGCACTTGAGGTTTTTTTAAAGTACTTATTCCTTTTTCAATGATTTGCCTAAGGTCAGGTTTGCAAATCCCAGTCAGCAACGGGGGCTCTGGTTATGGCTTATGATCTGGCTTTCCAGAAATGGGAACAAAGTCTGTTTTTATGTCTCTTATTAAGCAGTAATGTAGGTAGTCCTAAGAAGTGAGTGTTTAAGAAAGCCATACAGGTTACAATTTGGTACCTTTCTCTGTTAACACTTCACTGGAGCCAATTTTTACCCCCATCACCAATAACCTTGGACTTTATGCAAGGTAATGTGTCACACATCTGGGTTCTCTTGATTTAGATGGTGGAGTCCTCCCAGGGGGCTTGTTCATAGCTTTGGTGCTCTGAGGTGCAGGGTGATGTGGCATCAGAAGCCCCCCACCACACCCCCAAATACCACCCCCCTCCCCCCGGTCTCTCTTTTTACCTGTCATCAACTTCCCCTTTCTCTGACTAATCCAGGGAAAGGTTTGATTTTCTTTTGTTCCCCTTGCTCTCCTGGTGACAGGAACTAAAAGGGAGGCATTATAACTGGGCGGGGACCCTCTCCAATAAAGGCATGACCACCTCTGGCTTTCTCCACAACTTCACTCTCAGCCTGGCTGAGTCTGGCGTGAACTGCACTTTCTGGCTCACCAGGAAAGTTTGTATCTTTACTCTGACTCAGCGCTTGACATTTTCTAGTGCTCCAGCTTGTTCTTTTTTTTTTTTTTTTT